ATTGCATACCTATTTAACAAATTGCAAAAATTATATTTTTGACTTCGAATCGTATCAAATTTTCATTTATTTTGATTGCATTCAAGTTTTTGTATGCATTTAATATTTTTTATTGAAAAGCAAAGTAGTATTACAGATATTTACGAATAAAATCATTAACATCTATTTTTTATCAAATTCACAAAATGGGAACATGTTTTATGAAAAACATAATGTTTATAAGTTTACGATATTATGACTTTCTTGCTGGAATTTTTTAAACCTTTTTGGTTTTTTTTTTGCGTTTTTGCGTTTTGCAAACCTTTTTGCGAAACGTTTTTTCCCCAAAAAATTTTCGTGCACCAAAATGCACGAAAATGCACGAAAATTATTTTCGTGAAAATAATATTGGAATAATCCAATTTTTCTAAATATTCGATTAATTGAGGAATCGACGTGATATTTAATATGTTTTTCATCATTTTAGTACTAGCGTGTAAGCCCGTCTCCCGCCGGGCGAGCGATTAGATTCTCAAAATTTCACTAATTAAATATTTTGTAGATATTTTTAAAAGACAATGGAAGTGAAAGCAATTTGAAGCAAACGTTAAAGTGGAAAACTAAACTTATCTCTGTTATATCTGCCAGCCCAGTCTGCCAGTGGCAATGGCAGTGCCACTGGCACTTTGTCTGGCACCCCATTTGGCACAGTTACCTTTGGCAAGCCCAAACTGCAGACTTTTGCTTTTCTACAAAAGGGTGCCCACGTCAGTGTAAACAAATTTGTCGTTGAATAACCCCGGAACGATTTGTCGTAGCGGGTCAAAATTTTGAACAGACGAGCATGTTATCCTCAGATGGGTGTGTGCAACATTTCAACTCTCTACTTTCAAAAATGCCTCCCCCACAGCCCCCAGAAGTTGAGACAGTCATTCCAACTGTTTCCAAACTCCGTCTAAAAAATTCGGTCTCTGCAGAAAAGATTTTCTTTTCAAGTATCCGAAGCCAAAGAAGTCCATTTAACTACATGAGGGGATTATACAGGTATTTCACTATTCGAAATGATTTTTATCCCAAATCTAGCTTCAAGGTCCTTTGCATTATCTTGGGTCAACTTATCCGTCTGGGAAGACGCTGCGTCATGATGAAAAATCACCTTAATTTTTTTTACCGTGCAATTTAGGAAAATGTTATTCTAAAAGTGGTTTCAATACACATTTATAACCTCCATCATGTGCCACACGCCGATAACCACCACCAGGCCGCCACCCCTCAATAACAACCATCAGGCCGCCACAACCCGATAACCACCACCAGGCCCCCATTCCTCGATAACCACCATCAGGCCGAAACACCCTGATAACCAATATCACGGAGAAACGCCCCGATAACCGCATATCGTTAGTCAACTTATAACCACCACCAGGCCGCAACATTCTGATAACCACCATCGAACAACAACGACCCAATAACCTCACATTTATTTTTAAAATTAAGATTTTTGAATTTTCGCGCCATTCGAAATTTAACTTTCCCTGCTATCACTTCCGTCATGGAAATTTACTTTCACTTCCGTTGCAGACAGACATTTCCAGCTTATAATATAGATTTTTTGTAAAAATATTTTTAATTTTTCAATGCGAAACATGAATCAAAGTTTTGAAAATGAAACTGAATGAACACGACGATTTTTATGAACGGCTGAATACTGACTTGTATTTTAGAACAAAACAAATACGTGTAATTTTTTTGAAATTTCCTTGCCGAATAATAATTCCATGTTATTCGATGTGTACAAAATTCCAATTTGACAGGGTGGGAAAATATAAAATTTCTTAAAAATATGAAATTCCCTGCACAAGTTGTGAATGACAATTGATTGGTGCAAAAATTGTAGAAATGTGTACAATTTTTTACAGAGCCAACCTTTTTCCCCCAGGATTTCAGACTTTATAAGGTCCCAAATATCCTCGTGAACTACAAGTAAATAAAACTTGTCAATAATTTAACTACCTTGCCCCATTATTTTCCAGCGAAGTCAATGCCATCTCAGGTGCATAACCTTTAAATAATTTCTCACAATTGTATTTCTGACTTTGAATCGTATCAAATTTTATTTTTATCCCATGAAAATCTGTGGATTCGATATTTGATAGTTTCTTATGGAAAAGTAAAGCAGTAGTATTATTTACGAATACAATATTAACATCTATTTTGATCAAATTCACAAACTGGGGACGTTTTACCGTAATAACGTGATCTTTCCAAGTTTATGATATTGTTTAGAATGAAAAAATGCAAAATTTCATCAGAAAAAATAATTACTTTTCTGATGAAATTTTGCTAAAATACTTTCTGAAATACTTTTTGAAAACCAGTTTTTCCCAATTTATTACCGACTTTACTTATGAATTATATTGATTACAAATCGAGAAAATAGCATTTAAATCTAAAATTTACTCACCTAAGGTTTCAATTACTAAGATAAAACTCGTAAAATTTACACTTTGGACTCTGAATTTTATCAAATTTAGCATGTTTTATTCTAATAGACTTTTCGGATGCATTTTCACACTTATTTTCAAACCTTATCATCAATGCCATGACAAAATGAATCCGAAATGTAATAGGAGTGTGAGAGCATTATATACCCTGAATAATAAGGAGTCACGTCATATATATGTGTGGACCCATTGAATTTTACGTTCCCAAGAAATAAATACAACACGAAATTTCCGAAATTTTTTAGTTTGATGGATTTGTATATATTTATGAGTTTAGAAATCACCACGTTATTTATTTTCTGAAATGGGTTTTATTAATTAATATGGTCATGCTTATTTCATAACAAAATTTGAAATGTTATTTATGACCAATAATTGCTTATGAGGAGAACATGCCAACCTGACAATGACAGATTTTTAGACCTTTATATGTGGGAGCACCCTGTAAGAAAATGAAAAGTGTGAAGTAATTTGACGCCATTTGCGCCCGATTTGCCGCACGAAAACCTTCGCCAAAAACCCTATTTTGCCCTGACGAAACCTAATAGGAATGTGCGAGCATGATACAGACTGAATAAAATGGTCGCATAAATATCTGTGAATCCAATCGTACCCATCGAAGTTTACGTTCCCCAAAACTACATGCAACACTATTTTGGATGATTTTTGTTATTTAATTGTCTTCCATAGTATTTAGGGAGTAGCTTTTTCCCTGCCTATTGAACTTAGATTTGGTCCCTATTGTTGTAAAAATTCTGGTTTCGACGTTTCCAATTAAAATTTTACACACAATGCAAACCTTTTATTCGAAAAATTATGAAATTCACAAAATTTATTCGCATTTTATATTTTTAGTACTTAAATCATAACAAGCAGGGATGGTCAAAATACTTTGTGAATAAACAGTATTTTGATTTTCGTTTTTCCAAGGGCTTGGATTTCCGGGATTGTTACACCCACAAAAAGATGACAATTCCCATGAAGAATACTACAGTCAGTCGGAAATACAGGGTTTATGAAGAAATTAACATTTTATAGCTGTCATATACTTTTCTTTTTAAATCGTAAATTTGACAGCTCCTGACAGCGGTAACATGTTACCGCTTTAATAAAACCTGTATTTTCGACCGACTGCTGTATTCTTCATGTGAATTGTCGTCTTTTTGTGGGTGTAACAGTCCCAGAAATCCAAGCCCTTGGAAGAACAGAAATCAAAATACTGTATCTTCATAAAGTATTTTGACCATCTTTGAATATAATTAAAGATCTTAACGTCCAATGCATCTTGTTTCAATAAATATGTAGCATAATTATGAATAGATTCTTTTATTCGCTGTATTTTCTGTTGTTTAAAGTACTTTTTCAAATAAATCTAAATTGAAACGTTACTAGCGAAAACGTTTGTTACTAATTATGTTAAATTTTCTGTCATTGAGAAATCGTTAAATACAGATTAATTCATTTGCACGGCGAAAAATGTAGAACCACGTGACAAACTTTTAACGTTGAATAATTTTTAAAATTCGTGAAGTTGAATCAATTTTAGAAATTTCCGAGACTGAAGCTACCTCTTTGTGTGGTTTTATAACGGTTTATTCTTAACCATGTTTGTGACGATTTGTTACAAAATGGAAAAGAAAAATTTGAAGGAGAGTTTATGGGTGTAAAAATGCACAGCACCGTTACTTTAGGCTAAAGTGAAATTTGACACAATGTAAAATTGTACCTGTCATGCACGGGTAGAAATTTAATCATCTACATATTCGTTTGTGACATCTGGAAACAATATCTGAACTTCTGTTTGGTCATGACTATTTTTAATTAAATTTTGACTTCGACGTTTAAACGAAACAAAACTCGAATAATTAAAAAATTCACGAAATTTATTTACACTTTACATTTTGTCCGTTTTTAGTGTATAAATTATAGTTTGCTTCAATTTTGAAACCACGTAAATTATTGAAAACTTCGAAAACCTGGATTAGTGAATAATAACCCTGGGAAGTAAAAACATATCCATTTTGGGTAAATTTTGGAGAAATAAATTGTTTGCTAAATTATGAGAAATTCGCAAAACCTGTCCGTTTATGCTTGAGTTTGTGAAGATTGTTTTAAGTTGTTTAATTGTTTTAACTTAAGAAATTATACATTTTTAAGACTACAATTTTTCATAATTTGATGACTTTTGCTCAAGCGAAGTAGCCATTGTACACAAGATTTTCGAAATTTACAAAATTTAATATAAACGTACATAGTCCTTCTTGTAGAGATTTATTCTTGGTAACTTTGTAAAATCGGTTAATTTCGACACCATTGTTTACTCTTTGGATAAACTTGGATCTTTAAGGAAAACTTAGATAGGAAAACTAGGCTTGGTGAATAATAACCCTGCAAAGGTAAAAAGTATCCATTTTTGGTAAATGTCCGGACAAAAGAATTTTTTGCGAAATTATGCAAATTTCGCAAACCCTGTCCAGTTAGTTATGCTCAATTTTACAAAGGGTGAGGTTTGTTGGTACAATTTTTATTTATTTATTATTTACAAAATCGAGAATTCTTGACATTATTAGCAACAAAAAATTATTTCTTTCTTTTAAAACAAGAACCCTTTTTACTTTTAGATTTATTTTCAATAACGTAATTTTCCCAAAGGGCCCGTTCCTTGGGAGATTTTGGACCCCAGAGGGACGACGCGGTCAGAGAAGATTTGACTTTCTATGGAAAACAAGGTGAATTAATTTTTTGTACATAGAGCCAGTTCAAGCAGCGCTTGGTAACGTTATAAAATCCGTAAATTATGTAAATTAACAAAGTTTTACAAAATTTTACAAATATTTCAAAGGAAAATTGGCTTAAATTTTTGTAAAGTTGCTCAGATTATAGGCGTCTCGTTTTTTGTAAAAGTTAAAAAAAATATTTTACAAAATCGCTAATGACTGAATTTTTTTTAAAATGCAACCTTTACAAAAGTTTTTACCTCCAGAAGCGTCAATTTTTCATTCGAGTTTTTGAAGATCTCGATAAATGCAAAGATTGGGACGAAAATGAGACAGCATGACGCCAAGACCCATCCAGCAGCTAGATACATAACAAAATATCATGTTTTGCTAAAATTTTCGTTTTCATAGAAAACTAAAGAATTTCAAATTTCTTACCAATCGCTCTTCCCGGTAAGGGGACGCCATTATATTCCACCGTTTCCATAGTAACCAAAGAATAAATTAGTATCAAAAATAAAAATACGGGAACAAAAAATCCCCAACAAAATTTCCAATAAATTCCAATCTTTTGTCCCAACATGAATTCGAAATCCGTCACGATATTAGACAACCCGTAAACCCAACTTATCGCCATCACTTCGAGCGTCGCTGTATATAAATTAAGAATCTCGTTAGGGAAACAAAATTTCAAAATTTTATAAATTTCAACAATATCAATAAAACCTAAAATGTAGATTACAAAATTTCCGGAAAAGTTATCCACCAAAGTTAATACTTGTTGGCCACCTAGATTTAAAACAAAATTTAAGAAAATTATACCAGACCACTTGTACATCTAATAGTAGATATATATTAGGATTGTGGCACAATCAAATTTAAATTCTGGCATGAACACCATACATATTTTGGAAAAAATATAAATTTTCAAGTTACAACAGTTTTTGCAATAAATTACGTATTTTTAAGCCTTGAATTTTTCATAATTCGAAATAAACGTTATAAACGAAATTTTCGAAATTTACAAAATTTAATATAAACCTAGTCCTTAGTAACTTTGTAAAATATGTAAGTTTTGTAAAGTAACAATTTTCCGATATTAAGAAGACGCCCTTCATCTTGGCAAGTTTACAAAAACTTGTAAACTAGTTTTCCTTCGAAATATTTGAAAAATTTGGAAAAGTTTACGGATTTTACCAAAGTTACAAAGTATTGAATTGCCTCACAGACCTTTTAAATTAGCAAAAATGATAGAAATTAGATGCTTTGAATTAAAATCCTTACCCGGTGTCACATAAATGAGTCCGAGCAAAAAGCACGCCCCGCACGTTGCCATGGTAACATGTAATTTCTTCAATTTTGGAAATTGGTCACAAATCACGGTAATCACAGCCATTTGCCACGACACGGCGGATCCAACTCCAAGACTGAACAGCATTAGGAAGAAAAGGGTCGAAAATAGCTGGAAAAAGTATAAATTCTTAATTAGGTAATTCACGTAGGGCTGCGTGCTAGAGCGTTTGTAAAATTCGTAAACTTACAGTTTTTAAAAATTTTACAAATATTTCTGAGAAAAAATTAGCTCACAAGTTTTTGTAAACTTTCAGATCAAGGGCGTTTTTTTAGTTGTGGAAGTTTGTAAAATTATTTAACAAATTTGCAGATTTTACAAAATTACGAATAACTGCGTGAATGTTTATGACACTTATAGTAAAATCTACCAATTTCTCACAACTTCGACACCATTTTATTCTCTTTCGATAAATTTGGATCGCTAATGATAATTTAGATTCCTTTGACACCGGTTTGGAGAGATATAAATTTTTCTAAGGAATTTCTTTAACTTTCCTAAGGTTAACAATTTAGGAATTTAGAAAAATTCTGAAAAGTACAAAAAAAATCAGGATAAAAATGGATCACAAATTTTTTCAAACTTTCTCAGATCACGGCCGTTCTTTTATTTTGTAAAAGTATGTAAAATCATTTAGCAAAATTTGCGAACTTTACAAAGTTACAAAGAATATAAATCCAGACAAAAAGTGAAGATAAATCTTCACGACAAACCTGTGGAACTTGGTCGAACTTTCCGATCGCGTCCGCATATGAAACGAATACCAGACCGGGACCGCTTTTTGCCACATTTTCAATCTTTGCGCCGGTTTCATGGGCTGTCATTTTTAAGAAATTAATCAAATTGTGTGTAATTGTTACCTTTAAATCGTCTTTCGAAAAAATTTTTGTTTCGCATTTGCAATAATTTTTTGCCCCTTTTGTGTTTGATGCCGAAATCAGTTTTACGAAAAAATAGTAAAATGTTTCAACAAAAATCAGCTAAGATGGAATCCCTAGATAAGAATTCATGGTTTACCAACGTTAGAAAATGTGTTTTAAAAGATTTTAAAACCAATTCTACAAAACTTCGAAGCGTATTTATGCAAATCTTGAAATTATTATTGCGTCAAATTTTCAATAATTGTTTACAACTTTTTCATGAGTTTAATACCAAAACGAATTTTATGGATAAATAATTCAAACAACAGAATTTTAAAGACACCTTTAGTCTGGTGGAATTAAATATTACAAAGTTTACAAAGTGTGGGTTGCACAGATTCAAAAACTGCAGTGATTCTGCAACCGAATTTGTACAAAATTTTCCAATGGTCATTGCGTTCAGATTTGTGGCAATTTTGGAATTTTTCACAAAGTAAAAAAATTGCACAGCTTGCATCTTCTTTTTTCTCATAGCTAACCATAATTTCTCTGCTCAAAGAAAATTAAATACAAAAATTTATATTTTTGCAAAAAAGTTTTAAAATTTTCGTGACTTTGATGCCAAAATCAATTTTTTAAATAACTAAATTCGCAAAAATTGCAATTAGATATTGCTGGACAAGTTTTCAATTAATTATGTAAAATGATATTAAGATATTTGTGCACAATATCTAAATTAATTTCATAATTTGAGTTTCTTTAACACGAGAAAATTTTAAAATTCTCCTGACATTGTATTAACTTTAAGAGGTACTTGCATATACTTCCCGAGCAATTTTCCTTACAATTTTCGGAAACATAAATTTTTATAATTTTCCTCCGCTTTTAAGATTTTCGGTATCAAGTTTATAAATAATATATGTATCTAATTTCTTGTAAAGCAAATATTTTCACTGCATTATCTTAAACGAAATTAATGATTTTTCGGGTGTATGTATATAGAGTTGAAGATTTACCTAAACTTTCAACTCTGTGGGGTCTACTACGCTATGAATCTCGCGTGAAGTTTGTAAATTTCTGAATTTTGAATAACTATAAAGACGTATGTTAAATTTGTTCAATATTTTAAACTCTTAAAAACATATTTCAGATACTGTGATTGCAAAAGTGAGAAGTGAAATTGAAGGTGAAAATATAGTTTCCAAAATGCGACCTTTTTATAAAAAAAACCTTCCTAATTGTATATATTTTATTTTTTAATTGCGCATATGTAATTACCTAAATTTCCGAGAATGGAAAAAACCGTGAATCCAGCCAACAGAGAAGTTCCTGTATCGATTAATGACACAATCATGGCATCCCTGCGCCAAGAAAGTTTCATTTTCATTAAATTTCCGTTTTTATTACATTTTCTTACGTTGTCTTGGTTACCTACCTGTACACGTTGTGCCGAAACGGGTTATACGACGCGTACATTATAATCGGCCTAATTTATACATTTATGGAAATCCTTAATTAACCATCGATTAATTAATTAATTCACCAATTAAATCAATTAATCACCCAAATCCAGTCGAAAGGCTGAAAAAGCACTGCGACACGGCAGAATACCTTTTTTCGATATAGGTTCAAATTAAAAACAAAATTTCCAAGAAAACTTTACCACCCGGTTACGTACCACACCTTTAAAAAATAAAATAAAAATAAATTAGTATCCATGCCAATTTACATTTTAAATTTCTATGCCAGCAAATTTATTAATTAGCACCTTCGCTTCAAGGATTTTGTCCCATTGTGGCTTTATAAAGTACCACATGCCATCAGACGCTCCTTCTTTGGTGGCTGCAAAATTAATTTTAATTAGTCCATATTATGCTTTACAAAATAAGTTACGAGTATTTGCATGTAACTCAGGATTAAAGTCGCTAAGATTAAGTTATAAACATTTACGCAAGTTTATACAGATTGCACAGAAAATTGAGATTTTTTAAAATCAATTTCATACACTCTTAGGAAACTGGTAACAAAATCATTACGGGCCGGAGTATAGATATGTGACTCTACCGGCACTGGTAATAACGGGCAATATATTTAAGTAGTTTTGTGGTAATGAAAAACTAACCACTCGCAAATAAACCGAAAAATCAAAATCAAACAATTTTGTAACTCATTTGGCATAATATAACCTATTAAATTAGAGTAGATAGTAAAATTTGTTTTTTTTTATTTCGGAGTTTTAATCTGACGGAAAAATAATCAATTTTAAAAGTAAATCTAAATATTGCAATTCACTTCAGAATTTGTAATGCAATAAACTTCGTAAATATATTGTGCACAAATTTGTAAATACTAGCCAAACGTACAACTATCCCATTGTCATGCCAATTTTTTTTAGTTTTACTAACAATTCTCCCACCGTATGCTCACAGGTTTTGACCAAACTAGTATCATTTAATCACAAATTTAATCAGTATTAAATTTGCAAATGGCATTATCTGCCAATGCGCTAGGTTGGCGGATATATTTTTGCAAAAAAAGGATAAGACGCGCCCCAAAGTTGACAAATTTTACACTTTCCAAAATTTACTGCTCGTTTTCTCCTCTTCGGATGCAAAAATACCTCTGCCAAACATGCGCATTGGCAGATAGTGCCATTTGCAAATTTCACACTAATTAAATTTGTGATCGATTGATACCAGTTTGGTCCAAATCCTAGAGCATACTCATTTAGAACAAGTTTTAAACTTATCTTCAGTAAATCCACACAAGTTTTTTATACAATTTTACGAAGATTGTGATAAGGAACGAGCTGACCTATCTTACTAATTAAAACCAGTGAGATATGATTTCTTTTAAATTACGGACTTTTAGTTTCACATACCAAATTCAATTTTGTATCAACTTAACGCAAAAAATGTAACGTTTCAATAAAATAAAGAATTCAGTTCACTCGAATGTTTGCAACGCAGTAAACTCGGTAAATTTACAAAGGAATGAAGACATGTTTAAAGGAAATCAAGGTACAAAGCTATTGTCAATTTCAAAAATTTCCCGACATAACTTTAAATTGCTCCTGGACCCAGATTCAGTAACTTAGACCGAAATTTCGGCTTAAGCTTAAGACGGTCTAAGACCGATCTTAAGATCGGTTTTACCCCCAATTCAGCACTTTTTCAAATCGGTGTTTGATGGTCTTAAGCTTAAGACGGGTTTAAGAACGATTTCAAAAGGCGGGAGAGACTAAAGTCTGCCCAGCCTGCGTGGGATATATAATTTATCCACCACCGACCATCTCACTTTCTCTCACAACAACACTCGGTAGAATATTTGTTTTTGTTGACATTTTAAAAGCATGTAAGGTCCCTTGTTCTCCTTTCCTTACCACCACTTGTTATTTAAGTACGACGACATTTCTTGGGCTGATTAAAATAAAAAAAATTAAAATTGACAGAACATGGATTTTTGAGTTCTGTCTTTTAATTTTGCAAATTAGAATAAACATTTGTCCAACTATTTATGATAGATTTAACGCATATTTAAAATATTTAAAATCTACACTATCCACAATCTTCTCTACATCGACTCTGGCCTTATGGCGCTGGTCTAACGACGCCGGGAGAATCGAAAATGTCTTTACTGTCGTATTTGTCGTAATTTATATTTGGCTGCAACAGAATGACAAATAAACAGATAGAGCCGCCATTAAATTAAACACCAATCACGCCTGTGTATATGAGTTCATCTTGCTTAAATTTCTTCATTTTAGGCGGATCAATGAGTATTATTGCGTTGCTGAGGAGTGAGATTAGAATGGGGTCGTCTGTGCGATCCGGTATTACAATTCCTGCAAGTAATGTGTGATGTTTATTCCAAATGAGCCAGCGTCTTGTGTAAGGCCAGCGCTACTTCGTCCATTCAGACTTGAGGCTGAAAAGCAAAATACCATTTGTTAGTCTCTTCCATGAACGAATTTTGCATTCTAATATACTTGAGAAAAAAATGTCATTAATTTGTTACATTTACTAGCAGTGGCTAAAATATTTACCTTAAATTTGATTGTAGTAAATGTTAATGACCTCGTCCCGTAATGGTTCGTCGTCATCTGCAAGCGGGATACCCTTTTCAATAAGTGAGTTGTGAAGCATAATAACACTCGCTGCAATCAATCTGCAATTTTTTCATTCTTGGTAACACGATTTGATTCCTCTCCTACTTATAATTCGTCTCACTGGACCTACAAACTGTTCTTTAATTATGGGTCAATCTATATACTTGGACATTAAACGGAATCAGATTTTTCAAGTACCGATGGTGCCGTGCATAACATTACTCGTTTCTAGAAGTTGTTAAATCTCAATTTATAATCTTCCTCAGCCTATAATCTGCATAAGGGGTCAAGGCTCCAAAGGTTCGGAATCTCCTAACAGATAAATGTTACTTGATGTCAGCGCAGGTAATTCTGCCAGCACATGTTTCAATTTTTTACCCATTCAAGAAACAACTTACGCCAAATTCCTTGCTTGCAAGATATTCTCCAACGCTGGTATGATTCCTATCGTCATTGCTTCCCGGCAACTTAGCATGCAAATTCAAATATATATTGATTATAATTGTTGACGACTTTTCAATTTTTAGAATGTGGTATTTATGTTCGCATACCGAAATTCACCGATTTAAAGTCAATACCTGTTCCATCACACATTTTATACGTATTATGCACGATCATGTGGTCATCGCACTGCTATTATGGCTCTGTCAAAAAACTAGGACAGGGATGAACTATCTGACATGTATGTAACTATTAAAATGACTATTTATGTAAATATTTGTTTGTTAAAATCTACATTATCTTCATTACATTGACGCTGGCCTCACGGCGCTGGCTTAATCCAATGCATTCACGTGCTGACTTCCTATCTGTTTGTATTTTGCTATAAATAGAACAACAAGTCAATAAATAAATTCGTTACAAAATTAAACACATTACTCCCGTAGAGATGAGTTATTCATTCACCTTGTGTAAGTTCCACTTTCTTGCGAGAAATATCCCGCATATCTGACAGAATGTGCTCAATTTTTTTAATAACTGCTACTTGTTCTTGTACATCTGCGACTTGTTCTCGCATCAACTTTGTGTCCCCTCTTCGAAACTTGACTTTCGTGTTAAGGAAGGTTTCGAAGGGAATCGAGGATGACCTTTGCCCTTCTAAAGGCTTAAAAATCTCACAAATAGCTTCCGCTCCCCACAAGAGTAGTCCAAAATGTTTACCAACTTCGAAGTCACATTGTTCCAGTTTCTTCCTCTGCCGAATATCTTCAGTCTTTCTTCCTCCAAGAATCGAAGGGGGACGGCCATGCGGTCACTGCACTGGCTGTTAAGGCTCTGGCAAAGGACTAGGAGACGGGGAAATTATCTGGCATTTACTCAAAAATTAAAATTACTATTTAATTAAATATTTTATTTCCACAAAAACAACAAAAAATAACGTGTTATTCCTCTCGCAGTCGCACAGAAACTAAGCTCAAATCTTAAAGTTAGACACCTCCGGAGTAGGTTTGAGATTTGCTCTAACTTTGAGCTAGCTTTGGTCTAACTTTTTGCTAATGAATCTACCTATTCACTAACTCGGTCTAAATTTTGTCTTGGGCTCAAATTTTTCTAGATTTTGTCTTAAGACAGGTTTAAACCGAGTTAGTGAATTGGATTTTGTCTATAGACTGTCTACAGACCAAGAATATTTCTTAGTGAATCTGGGTCCTGGAAACTTCATAAAAGACTCAGCAAACTCTGTTAATTCACAAACCTTATGAAAATTTATAGGAAGTTCACCCCAAATCTATTTTATCAATTATACAACAAAGTCAAATCTAATTTATTTTAAATTACGGACTTTGAGTTTGACATTAAACGCAAATACCACAAAGCGCACTGGTCCGGAATCCGGACTCCGGAACAGAGGTCGACGCCGATCTCACGCCGCCATACGCCAACGCATTTTACGCGCCGCCGCCGCCGAAAAATTTGATTTCCTATTCCTTTAACATTGCGACGCCGCGCCGCGCCGCCGACGCCGCCGAAAAATCACCAAAAACTGGCGCCGCCGCCGCCGAAAATTTGTCGGCGTCGACCTCTGCTCCGGATTGCTGTAATTGTTTGCCAAAAACCTATAGCTCTCGACTCATTTCATTTTATCGAATTCTGCCTTCGGGAATCGAGATATGAAGTTCCAAGGGGAGGAGCATAAGTAATGCAACTTTCATTGATAACCACGCCCTCAGGGGGTGTGATCACAGGTCAGTAATTATTTTCTCGCATTACCCCATCAAGTGGGATGTCATTCGAAAGGTCTAATCAAACTCTAAACAACTCTGACTAATTTTGGGAAATTATCGGCACACCTACTGCCAGGGGGTGTGGTCAAAATCAAAATTTGAAAGTTTTGTTTCGATAATTTTGAGGATATATTGTGATCAAATGACATGATGTGACGTCAATGATACGATCTCCCAATGTTCAGGTTTGACAGATATCTGCAAAAAAAATAGGATAAAACGTGCCCAAAAAGTTGACAAATTTTATACTTTCCAAATTTACTCCGCGTTTTTCTTCTCTTCAAATGCAAATATCTCCACAAATTTGGCATTGGGAGATAGTGCCATTTGTAAATTGCATGCTAATTAAATTTGGTGTCGTTTGACAAAAGTCCATATCTGTGACCATTCGTTGGGAGACCTCCATTGTTAAGGCCCGGCCACACGGAGAAAAATTCATGTTTTCATGAGTAAAATTTGTTGCAAACACCGTTCACACCAAAGAAAAGTGGTGTGAAACAATTTGCATCGGAAAATGTTCAAATGTTTTTTACGCATGAAAGTATGTGTGCCTAGTGTTCACACCAAGCTTCTGTGAGTAAAATTTTACTCGCAAAACCTTCATGCAACAAAAAACTGTACTTTGAACATTTAATATCCTTTTAACGCATTTGTATTTGCCATTGATTTTATTGGTGGCAAGTTTAAAACCCGGCGGTTGGACTTTTTCTCGTCCTTCTTTTTTTTATTGCAAAAAATACAATGGATAAGCATGTGTAGGGTTGCCGGTGAGATGAGATGAAGTGAGACAGAGCTCATCTCACCCCATCTCATTACCTGGTGAGATGAGTTGAGAACTAAATGAGTTCGTCAAAACCCTGGCTCGTCTCATCTCATCTCATCTCATGCTCAGATGAGATGAGATGAGATGGCTCATTCAGCGCTTCGTACGCAATATTTTGCCTAAAATTCCTATAGAAAAATAATGATGTAGTGACAAGGGCATATAATCTCGATATTTCAATATCGAATTTTCGAAATTCTAATATCGAAATTTCGATATTATAATATGAATTTTAATTTGGTCACAAAATACACCCCAAAGTTTCTATGGTTAACTTTTAACCTAGTTACATACACCCCACAATTTCCCAAAAATAATTCTGACTTACATAAACCTCGATAGTTTCCAAAAATGAATTTTTACTTGGTTGCACCCCCAAAGTTCCCAAAAATTAATTTTGATTTGGTTACACCCCCAAAGTTCCCAAAAATTAATTTTGATTTGGTTACACCCCCAAAGTTCCCAAAAATTAATTTTTATTTGGTTACACCCCCAAATTTCCTAAAATTAATTTTTATTTGGTTACACCCCCAATGTTTCCAAAAATGAATTTTTAGTTGGTTACACCCCCAAAGTTCCCCAAAGTCCCCCAAAGTCAAAATTGTATTTTGACTTGGGTACACCCTCACAGTTGACCACAATGAGTTTTGTCTAGGTTACACCCCAAAAGTTCGCAAATTGAATGCTGATTAATATTTATTAATGAGCTGATCTCGTCTCACTTAACTCATCTCATATCTCATGAGCTCATCTCATCTCATCTCACTTTACCCGTCTCATGTGAGTTCTCATCTCATTTAGCGGCCATCTCATCTCATCTCAAACTCATCTTCACATGAGATGGGATGAGATGAACTCATCTCACCGGCAACTCTAAGCATGTGGATACTGATACAGACATCAGTAATACTACTGATACTACTGAGAGTTTTACTGATACTACAGAGAGTTTTACGGACATTAATGAGAGTTTTACAGAAGACGATAAGGATGAGACATTAATTGCTGCTGTAAAAAGAAATCCAGCTATTTGGAATCATATGGATAAAGATTATAAATCTCGTGATTTAAAACCACAGCTGTGGACCCTTATCGCATCCGAGGTTAAACAATCAGGTAGGCCAAGGGTAGCGCTACCCTATTATTTATTTATTAATAAATATCCTAAATATACATTGGAAGTATTTTATCATTATAGTTTCATGGTGTAAAAATCGATGGACAGCTCTTCGAAATGAATACACTCGAAAGAAGCGATCGTTAATTGGGAAAACGGGAAAAAAACGAAAGAAAATTGTCCAAAGTGGTCACTTTCTACTTGTTATTTCTTGGAGACATCCCATCAACCGCCATGTACAAATTATTTTATAACACAAGTTATTTTATTATTATTATACATGTATTCACAGCTAAATTGCTTTTCAAATTTATAGAACCAGTGGAAATTTAGTTGAAGATCATGAAGAAGAAGAGTCATCAAGTAACTTTGAAGAAGAATTGGATGCTAATACTAATTCTTCGACTCCTGCAAGCAGTCGACCCGTCATCAAATCAGAGCGCTCTGATGATAAAGGTAAATGCAAATCGATATACAATCATAAATTTTAATTTAACGGGTTAATGATTATATATTATATCCTAGAAACCAAAAGCTGATTATACTTCGACAGGCTACAGAAAAAGGAAGACGGAAGAATCGGAAGTTGACAAAGAGTTGGTGGATTTTCCAAAACGACCTAAGGAAAACCAGGATGAGCATTATCATTTTGGGCTATCTATTGCTAATCAATTGCGGAATATGACTCCTATGATGTCAAGCTATGTCAAATTACAAATTCAGAATGCTATTCACATCTCCCTCTATCCAAATCCCCATCACCAAAATTAGAACTAAATAATGAATATACTTGGTGCAAATAAAGTCACATATTTTATAGAATATTGTTTGTAAAATTATTTTATTTGTGTAGCGCTACACTGCAGCTACATTAAAAAAGGCTCTCTCTTCTTGCCATTCAACACTACCATTACCCATAAAGTAATTACATAAATTATCCCGCATTATTCTTGCATTATTTGTATAGTTATTCCTATTATTCTTCCTGAAGTCTGCTAATCCAGAGCCGCCACCTTGTAAACGCCATTCTACATTTTTATCATCATCAATGTCAAAGTATCCAGGTGGGCAGTATTTTCTAGTTTCAGGTCGCATTAGTAACTCTTCTGTCCTTAGAAAATTATGTAGAACGACAGTTGCTGTAAAAATAACCAAGATACATGGTATTCCTACATATTGTTTTATTGTAGCGCTACAATTTAGTATTTTACCTTTGATAGCATTGACGACATTCTCAGGATCACTAATAATTGATCGTCGGTAAATATTAAATCTGCTGGCTATTATTCCGAATACATTTTCAATTATTCTCCTTGCTCTCGATAATCTGTAGTTGAAAATCCGCTTCTTCTTGTCCAGACCTCTTTGATCGTATGGCTTCATCATTTTATCCGATAGTGCGAAGGCGTCATCACCAACAAAGGTGCAAGGCTGCACTATATTTGATCCAGGTAGTGGCAAGGGATTTGGTATTTGAAGTCGGTCTATAAAATTGTAGCGCTACAATATTTATTTACAAAAATGTTTCTTGTATACAATAATTTTTTACATACCTTCGTCCAGAGCCCGTCCTAAAGCGGAAGAGCTAAATATTCCCCCATCGCTTTGTCTTCCATATCCCCCAATGTCGACGGTCGTAAAACGATAGTCAGCATCACATGTAGCAAGCAATACTACGCTGAAAAAACTTTTGTAATTGAAGAAGAGTGACCCTGAGTTTGGTGGAGCTCGAATCATGACATGTTTTCCATCAATAGCTCCTAAACAATTAGGAAAATTCCACTTTTCATCGAATCCCTTCACAATGTCCATCCACTTTTCTTTATCTGGCACCTATTATAAAAATTACTAATCAATATATATATATATTGTAGCGCTACAATAAAATGTACATCAACATACTTTAAGATAAACCGGTTGCAAGTTTTTCCATAAAGCTTGGTTAACGGACTTTATAATATTTTGCACAGTTGACCTTCCAACGCTAAAGCTGGTTGCAATAGTTTTGATTGAATCCCCACTCACTAAATACCTAATAAATTAAATCAATAAGTATCTGATTTAACTCAAGTTTGCGCAAACTTTTTAATTATTATTACCTGAGGCCAATAAATAGCCGCTGACGAGGAGGTATTGAAAGACGATAATTTGTATCTTGCAATGTTATATCCAATGTCACCATGCCAAGTACCTTATCGAATTGGATAGGAGTCATCCGCGCGTACTCAAAGAATTTATCGGGATAATTAGTGTACATCATTTCAAGTTTTAAATGCTCGCCCAGTGTTGGCCGCAACAAATTTAGTGGATGAATCCAACATTTTCTCTTTGACCTTTGCCTAATAAGTCGACGTCTCAATAGGATGAGAGCAACAATCTCCTTATCGTCCATTTGAAGCTATCAAAATAATGTAGCGCTACATTAATGACAAAATAATAGCATTTATATTTAAAACTAAGTGTTTTATTACCTTGCTTTATTTAATCAAGACCAAATTAATCGTTGGGACGAATTTTTGAAATAAACCAACTTTCAGTTTTGAGACAACTCGTGATACATTTAAATGCGTTAAAAGGATAGGGATTTTGAGATTTTTCATGCAAGAATTTTATTTTACTTTGAACATGTTCAAAGTAAAAAAAAGTTTACTTGCGAGTAAAAATTTACTCGCTTCACCGTTCACACGGCGTTTCCCGTTTCATGCAATAATTTTACTCGCGACATATTTTGAGCAAACATTTCCGTGTGGCTCGATTAATTCTTTTTGTTGAGTCAAATTGTTGTACGTACAATTTTACTCATGAAAGTCATAATTTTTTTTCCGTGTGGCCGGGCCTTTAGACGTCAAAAATTTAATTTGGTGTCAATCGCATACACGTAAAGAAATAATAAATTCATCGATGTTTGTAATTCGCCAATTTCATAAATTTACAAATTGATGCAATTTAGCGACGGAAACGTTAAATCTGTTTTACGAATTATGTCATTTAGTCAAATCTGATATCTTTTCAATTCCGGAGTTTTAGTTTTACATTCGAAAAAATCAATCATTTTAAAAGTAAACAAATAAACGTAAAATGTTGCAATTCATTTCAGAATGTGTAACGCAATACACTCTATATTTTTTAATCAGTTTGAAAACACTATCGAAACGCATTTGCATCTGATTTATTCAATTGGCGCACTAAAAATTTTTGTAAGTACGGAGTTTTGCTTCGACATCAAAAATTTAGTTTAGTGTCAATCGTATACATTTAAAATAACAATCAATCTATTATGACTTTGATGTTTGTAACTTACCAAATTTCGTAAATTTCATAAATTCGCAAATGTTATTCAATTTCTCGAAGAGTAGTTTTAAATCTGTATTACGGACTTTTACTTTGACATTAAACGTAAATGTAACATTAGTACAAATTCTACAAATTCATTAGTAAATTCTTTTTTATTTGAGGATAATGTAACATTACCCTCAAATAAAAAAGAATTTACTTCGCTTCGATGTTTGTAACGGAGTAAACTCACTAAACGATTAAGACATTTTCAATGAAAAACGAAGCCATAGATTTGTCTTAAATTTTATAAAAAGTTTCCTTTAAATTGTTTCTGTAAACTTTGTAAAATTCATAATTTTACAAATTGTATGCCTAATAAATTTATAAATCTTTTTACAATTTTTCTGATTTAACAGAAAATCTATATCACAAATTTAACTATGTAGTCAAATCTGATTTCTTTAAGATAGATATATACAATGAAATAGTGTTTTTTTCGGCTTCCAACGATTTTCGAGTTTGAAGGCTTAAAATTTACGTAATATTTAGTAGATCAAAATTCTGTAATAAAATTGGGGGGGCCCACCAGCAGTTTTCGAGATCTGAGCCAATATGTGCGAATTTTTTGCTAATTGTGAGAAATTCAAGTTTTGACTAAATCTTTGCTTTAATATGGCTCGAAATAATTTTAAAAATTATTTTGGACTAGAATTTGGCCGCCGCCTTGATTTCCGACCCCAATTTTCCGATATATTGAGGTTTGCAAAATAATTGCATTTTCCATATTATTAAGATAGATATATACAATGAAATAGTGTTTTTTTCGGCTTCCAACGATTTTCGAGTTTGAAGGCTTAAAATTTACGTAATATTTAGTAGATCAAAATTCTGTAATAAAATTGGGGGGGCCCACCAGCAGTTTTCGAGATCTGAGCCAATATGTGCGAATTTTTTGCTAATTGTGAGAAATTCAAGTTTTGACTAAATCTTTGCTTTAATATGGCTCGAAATAATTTTAAAAATTATTTTGGACTAGAATTTGGCCGCCGCCTTGATTTCCGACCCCAATTTTCCGATATATTGAGGTTTGCAAAATAATTGCATTTTCCATATTATCTTTTCACGATGGAATTACGGTATTTATTGAAAGTTGTTAGCGTATTGTTTAGTTATACCTAATAGTTATCAACATGTCTTGTCAATTGCAAAAGTAATTTTGCCATAAGATTTTGCCAAAAGTTTAAAAAAAAGTTGCATTCGAAATTCAAATTTCAAATATTACAGATACTTACACATAATATTACAACGTGTTTTTTGGATGGCATTTAACTTATCAGGAATTTTGAAAACAACACAAAATTTTGTTTGGAACTCGGAATTTTGTTAAGCACGCAAGATGTTGTTAATGCCGCGTTGACTTGTTTAAATTACGGACGTTTAGTTCGACATTAAACGTAAATTTTGTTAACATCACCATCAAATAATGAATAATTCGCTATGCTGTGATGTGTGTAACACACTAAACTCCGTAAGTTAACAAAATAATGAAGAGAAAATCAGGCTACAAATCTATCGCAAATTTTCAAAAATTTCTTGACATAACTTTACATTGCTCCTTTAAATAAACTTTGTAAAATTCAAAAATTTTCAAAATTTCGTGTAAAATAATATATTTGCGAAGTTTGGGTTTCATTTAAATTACCGATTTTCAGGCTGACATTAAACATTACCATCAAATCAAATAAACTTCACTCCGATGTTTGTACCTCCATAAACTACGGCAAACTTGCAAAAAAATCAAGACATTTATAAAGAAAATTCAACTGAATATCAATCTATCGTCAATTTTCAAATATTTCCTGACAAAATTTAAACTTTGTAATTATAAATGATTATTTCTTTTCAAATCTAATTACTTTTAAATGACGGACTTCTAGTTTGGCATTAAACGTGAAATGTGCCATTAATATCAACTAAAGAATAAAGTTTCGAATAATCACTCCGATGTTTGTAACGCATTAAAGTCCGTAAACTTACAAAAAAATAATATATTTTCAAATCCAAAATCAAACCCCTGCCGACACATATATCGTGAACTTTCAAAAACTTCCCTTTAATTTGTTTCTTTACACTCTGCAAAATAAATAATTTCGCAAAATTGCATACTTTACAAAGAATCCTTACCTCCCGTAATCAGTTATTTAGGAGAGTAAAGTTTAATTTGGTTTAAATTACCAAGTTTTAAGTCGACATACAAAATAGTAATTAAACTGTAATTTATTAAAATAAATGGTCAATCAATTTACGCAGTCCTGCAATTGTAAATTTTCAAAAATTTCCTGCCATAACTTTAAATTATTCCTGTAAACTTTATGAAATAAATAACTGTACAAAGTTTACACGTGAATTGATAAATCTTCAAAGTTAGTAATTCAGCAAACTCCGTAGTTTTACCAAAACGTTATTACAATTTTTCGAAAAATCAAATCTGTTTCACCAAGTAAACAATAGTCAAATTTAATTTCTTTTAAATTACGGACTCTTAGTTTGACATTAAACGAAAATGTCATATGCCAAAAAGAAAATCTCTCACTCAATCTCACTTCATTCCCATGTTTGTAACGCAGTAAACTCCGCAAACTCATAAAGAAATCAAGACACTTTTAAAGAAAAAATCCATGTATAGCTGCTCCACGTAGCTTTGTAAAAGAAGTAATCTTTCAAAATTTACACGTGAAATCAGTAATCATTCAGTAAATTCCGTTAATTCATGCACGTTTTTACAATTTTTCGATAACGAAGAATTCACTTCATTCCGATGTTTGTAGCTAAACTCCGTAAACTTACAAAAGGATCAAGATACTTTCTAATAAAAATTATACTACTCCAGATTTATCGGGCATGTTCAAAAGTTGCCGTTTAAATTGTTTCGTTAAACTTTGTAATATAAATAATTTTGAAGAATTACACTTTACAAAGTATCCTTACCTCCCGTAATTAGCAGCACGATTAGCACAATATAGGGATATATCGCAGTAAAGTAGGCTACTTTTCCACTGGACGCGACTCCTTTAATGATCGAAAAGAAAACAGCCAGCCATGAAAATAAGTAGCACAACGTCAATTCCCAAGTGGGTGTGCCAATTCTGTAAAAAAAATCAATGCAAATTTAGATACTCATAACAATGAAGGTCTCCCAACGTTTTCTCGAAGATTTTGGCAAAATTAGTGTCAATCAATTACAAATTTAATTAACATGAAATTTGCGAAACACACAATCTCCCAATAGGCACGCTTCACAGAGATATTGGCATCCAAAGAGGAGAAAATGTGCAGTAAATTTGGAAAGTGCAAAGTTTGTCAACTTTACGCTGTGTTTCTCCTCTTCGGATGCAAACATCTCTGCCAAACGTGCCCATTGGGAGATCGTTATTTTTGCAAATTTCATACCAATTATATTTGTTATCGACTGACACTATTTAATTTTGCCAAAATCGGCGAGCATACGCTGGGAAACCTCCATTACTAGCATCCATATAAACAACAATTTAAAAGAAATATGAAATAATTTCAAAATTACCCGGAAGAAATATCGGGTAGGATTTGTAGCACAGTTTTTCTGTTGAATAGCAGAGTTATTTATTTTAATTTCGTAAAATTCTTAAAATTTTATGTAAATTCTTGCTTACTCAAAATAAATTTCTGCATAGGACGTCGAATTATCGGCGCAGTCGACGTTCCACTCCGGATCGCAAACCGTCCAGGGAAGGTTTTTTTGAAAGGAGGCGAAAAAATAGAAAACCGTCAACGCCATGACGGACACGTAGTAGCTGACGACACAAAAGGACGCCAAAGTTGAGCCGTATCCAACCCCTGGAATTAAATTGAGGAGTGATTATTTAATGATTAATTTTTTGGTGATAATAATTAATTGATGATAAATTTTAACTGATACCTAATTCATTTTTTTGTACCTTAAATAGTGGAAAATTTTTCCCATTTTTTAACAAATTCAAGAGGGATCAGCGATCTAACACGCTTATTAATTATTTCATAACCGAAATAACGTTTTGTGAGATTAAAGTCTTACGAAAAAAAAATCAAGAAAAAAAACAATGAAGTAATTCCTTCGTATTTAATTTGTAAAATCTGTAATTTTTGCAAACTAATTTTACACACTGCAACAAAATAAAGAGACGCTCTTGATCTGAGAAAGGATACAAAAATTTGAAATCTACTTTTCCTTCGAAATATTTGTAAAATTTTGTAACAGTTTGTAACTTTTTAAGGATTTTACAAAGTTACCAAGGACTGAGTGGCGTGAATTGCCTCGGTATTTAAAGTTATCGAGGTTACTAAACTGGCACGGGCTGTGTAATGAATAATTACTATAAGATGTGAAAAACAAAATAAATTTAAATTACATTGAGGCAATTCACGTCAGTCTTCGTAACTCTGCAGCCACATAAACTTAAGAAACTTCCGAACTTTTGACGAACATCTCGAAAGCAATTTTTGCTTACAAACTTAAGCAGATGAAAGACACGTTTCTGGTTCGCAAGTTTATCTTCGATATTTTACGTGGTTACGGGTACACAAAGGAAGGTTGGGACGTGAATTACTTCATTAGTTTGAACTTAACGCCGTTGTGGCATTTTCAATTTTTGGCTTCAGTAAGAGAAGAGAGCAGATGGGTATATTCTATGATATGAGACCTATTTATGAATGGGTATTTATTACAAATAAAGTTTTGCAATGTGCAAATTAGTTATTGCAAAAACGATAAACCTTTGGCAAAAATTTGACAACAGAAAAATATGTTTTTAAAACAAAACTTGTATTTTTGGTAGTGAAAATACGAAACAATACTAAAAAATTATTTCCACTGCTAAGGATGACTCGCAACTTGAATCTATAACACGTTGCTAAATACAAATTTTTATAAAATAACAATACGGAATCGAAGACTTACAAAAGGTGGGGAACCCATTTTTTCAATTTTTGTAGGATTTGCATAGTTTGCGCATTATGATTTTAGCTCTTATGAATGTACCGGGCTAATTAAAGGTAACCAGCGCCACATAGTTAAGCTATAATATTGGTGCAAATATAAAGGAATCACAGAGTTTGACATTTTTAACCGTGAAAGCAACTGATTCCTGGATTAGTAACAACACGATGCAGGTGTGCCTAACTTGCGCCAATGCTGTAGTTTAACCATGGCGCAAGTTAACACAGTTTTTTTACCTCTCATGATGGGCACAGCTTCCCAAACTTTGACCTGTCCGAAAGAGCAGAACTGACCGAGGGCGAGTTCCAAAAAGTAGATTGGTTTCCCAATGAAGAACAACACGATGAGGTATGGAATCAGAAAGGCTCCTCCCCCATTTGTGTAGGCCACATAGGGAAAACTTCGAAAAGAGAAAGTGGTTAAATTTACCGGTAAAAATTGCGGTAAAATTTACCGGTAAAAGTTATTCTCGATCCCGACCTTATATGACTACACTCTTGCCAATACAGTATTAAAATAGTACCAATTCATATTTGACTACCAAGAAAAGTGGTACCATATAGTAATACAGTCAATGGAACAAGTATTGGCAACACCCACACAAGCTAAATAAAATTGGCTATAACTTTGGCATGCATTATCAAATTAGCATGAAAATTTGTACGCATTTAGCAAATCCAATGTAGTGTTCGATTATAATCATGTTTCTGATTTAAATCTAGTAAACATAACACAATTCTGATTTTGACCTCAACGAATCAGATGCAAACCTGCAAAAAGTATTGGCAACATTTGGCCAAATTAATTACTCAAAACAATTTTCTTAACCATCTTCCACATTTCGTTACGGTAAGTTAATTAGGTGACAAAATATGAGGTTAGCTACATTGTAAGTCTACAGTTGTGTTGTCTGGAGCCAAAATGGCGACACCATATGAGCTGTATTTGGCGCGGCGAGAAATAATCATGTCTCTTTCACAAAAAAAGCTTTACTATCGAAAAATCAAAGAGAAAACATACTTTTCCATATTTACTATTGAATAGGTAGCAAAGAAATATAAAATGACAATCTCAGTTTCTACTTTTCCATGATGCGGAAGAAAAAAGTCATCTACGCCCAAAACCTAAGGATGACTCAAGCAACGAACCACTAGAGAGCGGAAGATTTCAGCTTCCAAATCCATGTTAAATTGGAGTATCAACTGTAGGGTCAACATATCATACAATATGGTGATCAATCAAAAATTATGCCTTGGGGTTTCAGGCTCCAGTAGCCCGACCGACGCGAGAGTACCCAAAGCGAACCACCTCAATAAATCGAAATGGGCTAAATATCACCCTAAATAGAGTTCCGATCAATGAAAAAGGGCCTACTGGTCCGACATAGGCATATTTTACTTATTCGGAGCTCATTAATTGGTTCAAGTCTAGCGGATGCAATAAAAGGCTCAGAAATACTAAAACGTTCTTATGGCAGTTTAACACATAGGAGGATCGATTATAGTTTGGGGTTAAATGACCAGTTCTCGGCGTAGTTACCTGGTCACTATCGATGAAATCATGACCAGGAAGGTGTTGTCGATCATTCCTAACGATAATTTGAAATCATTTAACAAAAACCTGGCCTAGGAAAAAATTTCATATTCCAAAAATGCAGTGACCCCAAACATGTAGCAAAATTAACGATGCAAGTTTTTGGAGACCGAAAAGGTTAAGATTCTTTCGTTGGCTGCACAGTCTCCTGATGTGATTCTGATTGTCCGGGTTAAGAAAAGAGAGACCGATGGGAAACCACTAGTCGAAAAACGAGCTTGTCAAAAGTTTAAAAGAACTGTGGGCAGCCATATAAAAAATCGTTATATAGGAACTTGTCGAATAAATTCCACGACCTATTTCTGCTCTTATTGGGTCGAGGGGAGGTGCCACGCAATACTAGAAGCACTTTGTCGCAGTAAAATTGGCGTTTCGTTGCTCTATGATTTTTTAAGTTAGAGGGTGCCAATACTTTTTGTGGGTTAATTTCGCAAATTTTCCATCAAATTATTGAAAAACTCCGTTAATCTAATTTTAATCAGTAAAACATGATTATAATCGAAAACTACATTAGATTTGCTAAATGCGTACAAATTTTCATGCTAATTTGATAATGCATGCCAAAGTTATAGCCAATTTTATTTAGCTTGTGTGGGTGTTGCCAATACTTGTTCCATTGACTGTAGCTCGGTATTAAAGTTTTACCGTATCGGTAGCAAATTTTTATGGACTGGTATAATTTTAATACCAAGCGGTAGCAACTTTAATACCGAGAAACCAATACTAGCCTGACTATACCAGATTTCTAACAGTGTATAAAATTCTGGTAAAATTTTACCGGTAAAAATTCCCAATCCCGACCGACATGGCGATACAGGAGAGTAAAAATTCCAACGGCGAGGACCAAGTTTGTCGGTCGGGGGCATCCTCCTCTTCATCCGTGGGGTTGGTTTCCGCTGGGGTAGAATTGATCGTTTTTTCACAGGAGGGTTCCTGAAATTAAAAATAATTCATGTGCAGATTCTTGTATGCCTCTGTATTTTTTTTTTGTTTTATTGAAGCGATTTTTAAATATCTTTAAAACTTCCGATTGACTATGTATACACATTTTTAAAATGATTCGCGTGGTTCTTGGTAACCAAAAAATCTTTCGCTAGCCGCAGTGGCCGCGGGGACATTGTTCTTCCGACCGCACCCTTCCGCGGCCACTGGTGAGCCGTATTCTTCAAACATGTTGTTGAAACAGCGGAATAAAGATTAATATACTGTAGAAGAAGACGATTAATTAATTTTTAATGTTAGTTTTTGGTAGGGTTTAAAGATGAAAGATAATTTTTAGCTGGTGTACATATTATCATATTGATTTTCTAGATGTATTGGTCTTGGTCTTGGTCTTGGTCTTGGTCTGGATGTACAGGATCTGCAGGTATATTCCGACATTACTGTTCGTACAAAACTTGTCGACAGAGAATTTATACCCAAATGTATCGGAAAATGACACCGAAGGTGTCACCTTGCAAATCCACTTCACAAATCGAAGGAATTTTTACACTCACGTAAATTGCCTCAATAGAAAGAAAATACTTCAAAAAGGAGCAAATTCATGTCATAATTTTTTCTAAAGCAGAATCCAAATTAAAATTAAATATTGCAGTAAAATTGCATAATCAACCATTGGATCTGTAATCAGCATACCCCGGAAAAATATTTTTTTATCCTACCCTACTCATGTTGAGCTCAACACGAGTAGGGTAGGATAAAAAAATATTTGTCCGGGGTATGGTAATCAATTTGAGTAGTCAAAATTTTCATACTTAAATAAGTCGGAAGTTTTAAAGTTTACAAGTTGAACAATTTATCGTAATCCTACACAGATTGAGTGAATGTGTCTAATTGCAAACTCGTTTTTCATACAAAACTTAATTTTTGAAAACTTTGGTTAAAATTTCAAGACAAAAACACCGAATTAAATTAAGTCTGTGGATAATAAATTTCTTATTATGCCCACGTGATCTGTATGTAACTTGAAATAGTCAAACTTTGTGAAATTTTTATAAATGGCCTAGATATTTTACAATTTAAAGTCTTGGACAGATTAATTGAATGTATTCCTTTGGAAACTTGTTTTTCATATAAAACTTACTTTTTCCATTGTAATCCGAGTGAATTTTTAGAAGGATTAGTAAAATTTACGAAGATTTCACTGCATTATACAAAAATTATCCTAATAAAAATAAAATATCTCATTAAAAAATGTCCTCCCAAACCGTGCAAAATAGGATACCCATAAAATATCTCAATTAGGTATATTAAAAGGAGCAAGTTCGTGTCATAATTTAGGCTAACAAGTTAAAATTATACATTGTTAAAAATTTCATGAATGGATGCCACAGCACAAAATCTGTAATTAATATGAGTAGTCAAACGTTGTAAAATTTTCATAAATGGAAATTTAACAATCTATCCTAATCTTACAAAGATTGGTGGAAAACGTTTCTTTGTGAACGTTTTTTCTTTAAAAAATTTAAATTTTTTTGTAATCCGAGTAAGTTTGTGGAAGTTTTAACAAAACTTAAGGACATTTTACGAGTAAAAACAGAAATAAAATAGGTCAAATTTGTTGAAAGAAGTAAACTCTTGTCATAATTTTCGCTAATACAAAATCCAAATTAAAATTCAATATTTCTGAAATATCTACTTTATCATCAACTACTGGATCTGGAATTAATTTGAGTAGTCAAAATTTGCAAAATTTGCATTAATAGATTAGACGTTTTACGAGATTAGCACTCTATCGCAGTCTTGCAGAGATATTGATGAAACGCGTCTCGTCTTTTGTAATTCGAGTAAATTTCTAGAGGAATTGGCAAAATTTAAAGAAATTTTATTGCTTTATTCTACTAAATTGCGTGAATGCATAGAAATAAAATACGTCCAATTTAAGGAGAAAACTTGTCATAATTTTGGTTAGAATAGAACCCAAGTTAAAGTTAAATATTGTTGAAAAATTTCATGCTCTCGACGACCCATAAGAATCAGTTAATTTTAGTAATCCAAATTTGTAAAATTTTCATTAATGGGTAGTAAGGTTTACAAAAAATTTCATCACGGGATCTGTAATACATTTGCGGAGTCAAAATTTTTAAAATTTTCATAAATGGGTCAAAAATTTTATAATTTTAAATAACAATCTATCGAAATCCTACACAGGTGGATTGACCACATCTCTTTGCAAATTGTCCTTTTTCCCTACAAAACTGCCTTTTTCCTTTGTAATCCGACTAAATTTGGGGAGTAGTTGAAAAAATTCAAGGAAATTTCACTGTGCTATCTGAGTAAACGGCCTCGGTGAAAAATATAATAAATCGCTTGAATAGAAGAAAATTTTGGATAAAATTTCAGAAAAAATTAGACCCCAAATTACAATTTAAATTAAACTTTAAATTTAAAATACAATTCTTACTAAACATTACTTTTTAAGTTATCATTTAACCTGCAAATTAATATACAAAGTCACAACTTGTCTGATTTTCATAAATGGATCAAAAATTTTACAAATTTAACAATCTATCGCAATCTCACGCAGATTGATTGAACCGTTCAATTTGAACGCGTCTCTTTGTAAACTAGTTTTTCGTGCAAAACGTACTTTTTGTTCGTAATCTTTGTAAAAGTTGGCAAAATTGGAGGTCAAGCATAAAATAACTTGTGTCAATAGTATTTAGGAGTAAATTTTCACCAAAATTTTTGAAAAACAGCCCTCGACTTATAATTAAGTTCAGGTATAAAATTAATTATCATAAATAGCTAACAAACAGCAAATTTAACAAATTATCAAATTTTTACTTAAATATTTTTTAGCAAGCAACATTATCAAGTTCTATAACTGTATCGCGAACAGATATTATTACGTGAACTTTATAAATTTGTTAGCTTTGTGGTAACCTTGTGAAACAAATTGTCATTGATCGATGCAAATTTGTTACAAAATTCTAAACCTGATTGCATGGGATTTTCGCAACATTTTACTAAACTTGCGTAGTAACTTTGAAAAACTTATAAATTTATTAAAAATATTCACGTAGATGTTTGTTTGTCCACCGTACAACTTTTTCAGTTTTATTTACAAAAACCTATGTACATACAAATTTATGATCGATTTTTTATTTTCGAAATTTATCTAAATTCCTAAACTTTTACCCCCCGCCCCCGAATTATAATTCTTTACAATATTTCTTAATCATATTTCTTAATCGTGACTCGAACTATTGTGTTGGACAAGGAAAAGCATCTACAATTTATTTTTAGACATAATCTTTTTCCAAAGTTTTTATAGTGGTGTCGAAGTTATAACAAATTAGCAAATTTTACCATAAGTTACACAAAATATATGTTCACAAAGTATGCACAGGCAATTCACGAAGTCATTTTGGAAACTCTGTAAAATTTGTAAAATGATTTTACAAACTTTTACAGAATAATAAGACGCCGTTGATCTGAGCAAGTTTACAAAAAATTGAAACCTAATTTTCCTCAGAAATATTTGTAAAGGTTTGCAAAAGTTTACGAAATTTACAGATTTTACAATGTTACCAAGCACTGCGTGAATTGTAAAGTTAAAACATAAAAACGTACCTCCCCCACAAATCCCTCATTATCTAAACCCCCACCACCACCACCACTAAACACCACGTTTTTACTCTCCATGACGCAAATATTCGTGTCCGACTAAACATTAAATTCTCGAATCACATTCAGGAAAATCCGTACCCCTTAAAACTTAACGACTCGTTATCTTACACAACATTATTTAATCTCTGCTGCATGCCACCTACATAATCAACAATTATGACACGTGCTGTCACTCAAAATTACGATATGGCACGTAATCAGTCATTACAATGCGATGCAGGCGATCATGCATAAAAAACGGGATTAATTAATCTCTGCAGATCAAGGTGCATGGCATTTTTTCGGTGGAGGGGACCCTGCATGAAGGATGGGAGCGAAGTACTTATGTAGAGGGGAATTTTGACCTTTGACCTATGACCTTTTATGGGTTTGCCGCCTCTACGAAATTGGTGACGTGGTTTATGCAGGGAAAATGAATGGGTAAATTCATCCTTGTCCAGCTACATAGGCATATTTTTATATATACACTCTTAGAAATCTAGTATTAAAATAATACCAAGCGGTATTCATAATATGAATTTCATATATGACTCGACCAAAGTGGTATTGATGAGTAAAACCGTACAGTAATAGTTCGGTATTGAAACTTTGTCGCATTATTGGTAACAAATTTTTACTGACCAGTATAATTTTCATACCAAGGATATAGAAATTTTAATTCCAAGAAATCAATACCAGATTTTTAACAGTGTAGTCAGTAGTAGCTAAAAAATCTGGTAATAATTTTTAGCTGATGTTATGTAACAAACTGGGTATTTAACTTGCAGGTGACAGATAAGTAATTATTATTAGGTATTAACTCTTGGCTATTTTTAAACTGATCGGTATGTTAATTAAGTCTACTTTTAATGGTGATCATGAAATTGATGAAATGAATTCGCAACCTGCGTAACTTGTATGCAATAGTAATAATAATTTTATAAAATAAGTGAGGATCTTCGTAAAAAAATTGCACGGTGATTTTCGCTCCTAGTTTCTGCAAACTTCTGCAGTCAACATTTTGTAATGTACTTGCACTTTTATATACAGCTAAAAAAATCTGCTAATAAATTTTACCGTTATGTGATGCATGTATCTGGTTATATAATTTGCAGTTGACAATCGTAACTTTTGGCTTAATCGTAATATTAACGGAAACATTATGATTTTTTTTTGAAATTATGACGATCATTCACGGAGTGGATTCTGGAAAATCTAGGTATTATGAAACTATCATAATTTTCTGTAAATTTTTTATTCGGTGTTGAAGTTGTGAGAAATTTAGTCTAATAACTTTTGCCCAGTAATTTTATGAGATGTTTGATGCGAACGTGGTCACATATTTACATTATTCACATAATCTTTTGTCAATATTTATTTGCACATTTTGCAATAAGACAATTCACGCAGTCCTTTGTAACTTTACAAATCTGTCCGTTTTGAAAAATAGTTTTACAAACTTTTACAAAATAGGAGACCCCCTGTTTCAAAAAATTTGTGAGCTAATTACCCCTAGAAATATTTGTAAAATTTTATAATTTATGGATTTTACGAGGTTGTCTTGGACCACGTTAATTGAGTTTACTTCGGGTAAATGACCCATGACAATTTTGTAAATATTAATATCATTTGCACCGATATTTTTTTTAGAATATTTATGACATGCAAAGATTTTCCGATTGTGCAATTCAAATTGTAAAAAAAATTGGCTCGTGGTTTGTCTGTTTCGTTGATATTTTTTATTTAGATATTTGTACTTACGTTTTATATTTTGGTTCTGTTTGTCTAGAGTTTTTTCTTAGGTGTGCTTGCTGTGTGTGTGTCCATCTTTAGTAGGTGTACTCTGCTGCGAAGAAGCCATCATGGCAGCCCCAGGGGCAACACTGTTCAACTACTGTTCAACACCGGTGTTCTCCAATTAATACATGTATTATTGTGGAAGTGGGAAGTCAGTTGGTTTTTCGAATTTGCTTGGTTTTGATATTCTGTAAAGAAACAGCACATAAATATTAGTTAGTCACCAGTTCGAATCCCAGCAGCATTTCCATAAACCCACAATCCCCGACACAGACCACTCGACCAACAAGCCAAGGTTGAAATGGGATGGAGTTTAACTTGTATTTATTTATGCGTGTGTCTCCATTTGTCTAAGCAAGCAAATAAGTTGAAGGTACACAAATAGATGAGGGGCATGATTTGGTTTTAAAGTATGTTACGCAAAAATGAAAATATTTATTTAATTATTAGTGAAAATTGGAGACATTTAACTCTTATGCATGTTGTTTTAAAGAGAATAAAATTTTAGGTGTATTTTAGGTGTATTTTTAATTACAGTTATTTATTATTGTTGCAAAATAATAAATATAAAACTAAATATATTTAATTCATCGTCATTAAATGACGATGAATGAGGAGAGACAAGAATTTATATACCACACACCGATTTTGATGCCCTTTTGATTGTTGTTTGTAGTTTCCGCTGAAGCCCCCCGTCTGCCACACCTTTTCAAAGGTCGAAAATTCTTGCTTCATTACATTTAGTCACAGATAGTTGATTTGTCATATTCAATATCAAACTTAACATTATTTTTAAATTCGAATTTTTTCGAAGGTTTCTAAAATATTGGAAAATTTTTAAAATGCCGACTTTGATATTGGACATGATATAAAAACTACTTGGGACTATAATGGTTCAAGATTTTTCAAAATCTGAACGAAATTGGGGATTGCAATTTAAGGTTTCTTTGATTCCCGTAAATTCCACGCCGTTTCTAATTATTGGTAAAAATAAGCTTGACTGGCTATCTTTTCAGGTTGGCATTGCGGAAATTTGAACAAGATATTTATTATTTTAGCAGTATTTTGAGGGGATAATATGCTCCGTGGTCATCATTTCGGAAAAGATTTAGTGAAATCATTGCACGAATGCAATTTATTTTTCACCATTTGGTACCAAATTAACTACTCATAATAGAGATGTTCCAGCGTCTGTTCTCCAATTTTGACCAAATTCTTGTAAATCGATTACAAATTTAATTTCGATGACGTTTGCGAATCTCCCAGTGGGCACGTTAGTCGGAGATATTTGCATCTGAAGACGAGAACAAGTTGTCAAATTTTACATTTTCCAAATTCACTGTGCATTTTCTCCTCTTCGGATGCAAATATCTGGGTCAGACGTGACCATTGAGTGATCGTGTCTTTTGCAAATTCGCAAATTAAATTTTTGAACGATTGACACTAGTTTGGTCAAAATCTGTGAGCATACGTTTGGAGACCTCCATATTGTAAGTATTAATCGGAAGACCTTTGACTTTCTCGTGACTTGACGTGACCACGTGACTTATGTAATTAGTATAAAATGTCAAAATTTCATGCAATTTTCAAAAACGGGTTAAAAGTTAAGATGATTAAAAATCTATCGCAATTTATGGGAAGTAAAAGTAATCATCCTTTTACAATGCACTACAAGCAGGCATGCATAAAAAACGGGACGAATTAATCACTCCATATTAAATTGCATAGCATTTTTTCGGTGTCCAGAAAATCATGAAGAATGGGATCGATCTAAGAGGAGTTTTGACATTTGACGGGTGACATGGGTCAAAAAAATTAAAGACATGGTTTATACAGGGAATAAATTAATGGAAAATTAATATCTGGTCGAGCCAGATAGACATATTTTTATATATAACGAAAAAATCTGGTAATAATTTTTAGCTGGTGTGGTGTAACTAGCTCGTTATTTAATTTGCAGGTGGCAGTTAAGTAATTATTATTAGGCATTATCTTTTGGCCATTTTTAACTCGACCGGTGTTAATTGTTACATTTAGAAAAAATTGAAATTTAATATCAGATTCAAATCTGGTTTTTAATCCATGACGGTCCTTCTCACCATATATCTCTGGTGATGAGTCGGTTCTCATTAAGTTTTACTTTCGTAAATTGAGGCCGAGAACTTGATGAAATTCGCAAACTCTGTAACTTTTATGAAATGGTGATAATAATTTTATAAAATAAAGAGTAAAAAGTCCAACTTGATTTTCTCTCCTTTAATTTTTGCAAAGTTTTACAGACATTTTGTAATGTTTACACAGTTAAAAAATCTACAAATATTACTTTTTATTGTGACGTGATGCACATAATGTAACTCATTATATGTATAATCTGCAGGTATAATCAATCGTTACTTTTGGTCATTTTTTTAGCCTAATCGTAATATTAATGGAAACATTGGTAACGTTTTTTGAAAATATGACAATCATTTACGTAATTGACGACATAGAATCTAGATGTTATGAAATTGGCACAATGTTCTGTAAATTTTTTATACGGTGTCGAATTTGCGAGAAATTTTGTCTAACAACTTTTGCCAATAATTTTACATATTTTATGTGAGTAAAATATTTACATTTGTGTCGTGGTTTATCATTCCTATAATCTTTTAAAAATTTTATATTTGCAAATTTTATATTCGCAAATTTTATAGTAAGATAATTCACGCAGTCTTTGGTTACTTTGTAAAATCCGTAAATTTTGCAATAAAATTTTGTAATTTTTTACAAAATTAAGGGATGCCGTTGACCTGAGCAAGTTTTAAAAAGTATCTATGTAGCTGTAATATTACTATGTAATATTACTGGGATTCGATAATATTACGATATGACGATTAAACTAAAAATAACCAAAATTTTACGATTGTCACCTGCAAATTAGGTAACGAGTTACAGAGATATTTCACATCACGGTTAAAAATTATTAGCAGATTTTTTTAACACTCGTAACTTTTTTAAAACAATGACCATCATTTGCAATCTACATGGTAAAAACAACATTCTAATTTTCTGCCCGTTTTTTAAATGGTGTCGAAGTTGTGAGAAATTTAGTCGTACAAGTCGTACAATTTTTGTCCAATACGATCGGTGCGAGTTACATATTTACATTTGTGACGTGATTTTCAGTAATTTTCATTCGAATCTTCTTTATGCAAATATTTGTGCAAAATCCATAAATTTTGTGTATAAACTTTTACAAAATAAAAAGATGCCCTTGATCTGAGCTAGTTTACAAAAATTTGTAAGGTAATTTTTCCTT